GTGATTAAAGGGGGCATTTTAGCAACCAAAATAAGAACTGGGATAACTAAGAGTTGAAGAAATTATGCGCGAAGAAAACGACGAATGCGTCACCATCAGTGAGATTTTCCCAGAGATTGTCTGAGTTATTCATCAAAGCGGCCGCAAAGACCGGTGTGCAACTTCCTTGTACCCTATCCTATCTATTTTAGAGTTGCCTTCATTTATTCTTTTTCTGCGCATATGCGCAACAAATGAGCTTGGTCAAACGTCGAGATCAAATGAGCAAAAGGTCTTAACTTTTTTGATTATAATTAGTTATTGGCAACATTCTTCATTATTTTTCATTCGTCATTTCAAGCTTCATCGCTTTGCTATGGCTGTAGATGTTATAAAATCGACGTTCAGTCTCATTCCGCTCTTTTCCTCTACTTCACTTCTGTTTTTCTCTTCCGTTTACTCATCGTTTGCTACAAATTAACTTGAGCCTAAACCATTTATTATACAAAGCCAATTCAAGCTATTCAGTTTGTGCATAATCAAGAAGACATGCTTCCAACAAAAGAGCCAGCACAAGTCGTTTTCTTCCCTTTTCAAAGCCGCTTTGGAACTAAGACGACAGACAGATCTAAATATTGCAGTAGCTAGAAGTAGCGACAGTAATGAGAGAGGGTTTATGTCGCCAAAAGCTCAAATGAATATAAACTAACAGATGACGCAAGATTTATGACGTAAAAAGTAAAACATTCCAACCCTCAAATTACTAAGGAACGATATTCATCAAAGTGAAGTTGAGTGTGCAAGTGATTAGGAGAGAAAATGATTAAATTATGTAGAATTGCATCACGGTGGCATCTTCTAAGATGGTAGTTAGACAGGTACTGATTAATCTCAGCGGTTACATAGAATGAACACACCGCGATGATTTCATACATGGCTCCAGCTGAGCAGTAGATCGTCTTCACTGACAATGATCCATTCCTGTTCGCGTCGCCAGCTCGTTTGGTAAGTCGCGTTCTTGCTCCACTTCTCGTCCAAAAAAGTGGTGGATCAACCACGGTCTTCCATCAGATCTTCCTAATAATATCCTTGGTGGTATAGGTCAGAGCAAAGAGCTAGTCGACTGCTCGCAGGGAAGGTGAGAGAAGTGCTTGTAGGGTGACTAGACTGAGTGTGAAAAATACATCATTTCACATATTCAAATTACATATAATTGAAACTGTATGCATTTAGTCCAACTCGTCACTGGTCTCTCTAGGGCTGGCGTGGTTTAGTTTGTATTCAAATTTTGCGCGCTAGCGAGAGAACATAACTCGTTCTCGAAGAAAGAAAGTGTATTCGAAAGTAACGATGTTCTCGGCATCTCATTTGCTTTTTCCCTAAAAATGGAGTCTAATGTGGTTTCACAACTTCTTGCCGAGCCCTGTTCAACAAATCTTATTTAAGATCCCATGTCGAGTTCTGCCTAGCAGATTTGGAAAGAAGGTATGACAGCATTCCGAGCCGCGTAAGGCAGAATTCGTATCTTTTCGAATCGCATGGTGGCATAACATTTAAAAAGGAGATTTCGGCTAAAAAAGCCCTTGGAATCAATCTGGATTTCTGCAAAAAAAATAAACAGAAACAAATAGAGTGTTTATCTATAGCCGCTGACTTCCTCTGGTTTTTACAATTATGTGAGCCATGACCAGGATCAAGCGTAGAGTGTGGCATGCGACACTTGGGGTCGTACTGGGAATCAGAAACAGAACGGAGTCGTGATCGACGTCATACTGATACCAGAGATACCTAATGTATAAACAAAGTCACATAAGATCACTGCAGAGAAGCACGCTGAGGTATCGATCTATCATCGTCCAGTGAGCATGATAATGAAGAGCATAACGAGTATCATTTTTTATTGCATGTCGTACAACCCTTGAAGATCAAGCGAATTCTAGGTTTCCAAATATTGGTCCACGAATGTGGAATTGTTATTTTCGCACGAGATTAGCTTTGTTTTGAAGATGGGTTAGGTATTTTAGCACTCAGCACTACACTCAGCACAAAGCACCACCACTTCTTTAGCCTAATAAAAAAGCCAACCGAAGTCTCGTTTGTCTCATTTTTGCTCTCAATTGTTGTCCTTTAGCAATATTATTCGGAATAAAAAGGATTTGGCTCAATTTAATCTTGTGAGGTTCAAGAGATTTGAGCTTTTATAATGTATTTTCCTCACCCTATTATCTCGCGATATAACTAGTTGAGTTTTGGCATACTAACTGTACAGTAACCCAATAATTGTTCCGAACATAAAATTGGAAAACCACTATACCTTCTTCTAGAAGAAACGGTTTGGTGATGAACTGTAAAGAGAAGAATGTTTGGTGGTAGAAATCATTCAAAACAAGGAGATAATTAAATTCTCTAAGGGTAGGTTTGTCGCGGATTGCGCGACTTCTCCAAGGAGTCCGCTGCTCGTGCGCGAAGGGGTCTTGAAACGCCAGTCCTCGCGCGCTGCGCCGCCCTATAGGGATATATCGCTCGCTACGTATACCGTAGCTTACGTTTGAAAAGTCACCTACGTCACATGTGTTTGCTCGCGGGCGGTCGTCTTCAATTTAACTCCACTATCGATCGATCAAGCCGTTTCCACAACTCACGCGAACAAACCACCACGCTTGGAAGACTGACTGTCGCCTCGAGATGACTGATGTGTGCTTCTCGCTTGCCTCGGCTGCGGAGCAATCTCGGGATTTTCTTTCTTCCGGCCCCTAGGTAACATCTTGGCTGGCGTGCCCTCAGCCCATTGTATCTAGTTGTTTGTGTGTTAGTTAAGTTCCAGATAAATGGTGGGCACTTCAGTGTCGTAGTGCATTGACTAGAGTGTTGGGCTATGAGCTTAGGCCTTAGCCTCAGGAACATAGGTGCGATAGGGGGAGCCGGGCTCTCCCCGGGTGAAGGGGGTCTCGGCTGTTTCCGACCTTCCAGGTGAAAGGGGTATCTGAGCCTGGGGGGGGGGGGGGAGGGAGAGAGAAAAGGTAAAATATCGTGGTATGAAGTGCTCTAATTTTACCTTATTTAGGTACAAATTGAAAAAAAAATTTTAGAATTAAAAAAAAATAGTATTAGGTTGAACCGCAAGTTCTTTCGCACCAAATCCAAAAATTCATAATTTCTGAATAGTCTAACCGATTGGACCTCTCTTATTTTAATATGAAAGAGTAGATCATGGTCTTTATAATGACCATCAATTGTTTACTAATGATCATCTATTGCACAGATAGGAGCGGTAGAAGAAAATTGGTCAAAAATTGAATTTTCTGTGTAGGGTCATAAAAAATCGGAAACTTGCAACAAAAATCTGAGCAGTTGGTATATTGTAGGTTTTTTCACCAGGTCTTTCTAACTGTGCAAAGTTTGCGCCGATTGAACGTCTCTATGAAAAGTTACGATTTTCGAGCAAGCAATACAAAAGGATGATTTTGGTTTATTTTGGCATTTTTCAGAGAAATTGTAACTTTTCATGGAGACGCTCAAGCGGCGCAAACTTTGCACTGTTAGAAAGCTGGTGAAAGAACCTACACGGACTGCTCCGATATTTGTTGCAAGTTTTTTATGACCCCTACACAGAAAATTTTTTATGACCCTACACAGAAAATTCGAATTTTGACTAATTTTCTTCTACAGCTCCTATCTACGCAACAGATCATTAGCAAGCATCTAAGAAGTCGTTATAAAGAGCATAACTTACTTTTTCAGAAAAAAATAAGAGCGTTCCAATAGGCTGGAAAATTCAGAAGTTATGAATTTTTGAATTTGGTGCGAAAGAACTTTCGGTTCAACCTAATAAATCAAAAAAATTGACTTTATGAAGATCTGTGCTCCTATTTCATTGCATCGACAAAAAAGAAAGCAGTAAGGTATCCCAAAAGATGTACAATTTAGGAACAACTTACAATTTTTGCACGTCATCATCAACAATATCACTATCGCTAACGTCAGAGACAACAAATTCGCTGCCTGAAAGATCTTCTGTCAAAAGATCATCGGAGTGAGTCGAAAATGGATCTGAAACGTTTTTCTCCTTCTAGCGCTTTTGTGTTTTTTTCCTGGCCCTCTGGTAGCACCAGGAAGTCAGCAGTAGCTGAACAGTTTCTTCATACCATCTTATAGGATATTTCAAAAAGTCATACGATGACGAACGCCCGTAAAAGGGCTCGGGACTGAGAGGAGTTGCAGGTGCGCTCCATCGCCATTTCGATTAGAGCACCTCTTTTCAACTGGAGCGCACTATCTCTAAATACTGTGCATCTGACAAGGAGTGTCACCGGTGATGAAAGGCTGCTGATGTATGACTGTTGCACGGCTACTAGTACGAGTCATGAGGATGACTGAGGAAGAGATGGCTACATGTTATCCGGTAAACTAGAGAAAGTTGTTGAAGTATGTAACGCAACAAGTTACACCAGTGTATTAATCACTGTTACGATTGCTTCCTCTTTCAACATCATCCTCCAACACTTTTTGAACTCCATAAAAGTGAGTGATTCCAATGTACGTTACAGGGCCCGGCACGAGCTTGTCAAAAGGGGTTTTCGAAAACGAATTCCCCTTTGATCCAAAATTTCTTTACGAATTCCCCTTTGACCCAAAAACTGATCCCAGTGATTGCGCAGTGAACACTGTACCCACAGAACAAGTTGTTGAGAAAAAAACAAAAATAGTTCATTCATGCCTCTCTTGATCCAGACCGAAGGTGATCTCTCGCTTCATTGCTCATTTCAAGTGTCGTAAAGATTTCTACACTTGTTTTCACCTTAGCGCCACTTCGACTTAGTATTCTTCGACTTAGTATCTCCCCTTGTAAAACTATCAGCTTATCTCGAAAGCAGATGAAGCTATTTTCGAGATAAGTTGATAGTCATATACTTGGAAATTTTTCATTTGCAATAAACGGTATGGATAGGGATGTGGGAAGAGGAGGCTGCATCAAGACAAATATATGGAAATTTATTTCAGACAAGTAACAGCAACTTCTGTTAGCAACATCTCTTCCATCGTGAATCTACTGAGTGGTAAAACAGAGGCGGTGCTATGCCATCACTGTTGTCCGTATTATGAGAAAACGGAACATGGTTAACCTGAAATATGCAGTTTTGACAGTTTCAACGCATAGCTGCAAAACCCACCTTTTTGTCGGCTATACCTTAATTTCGGATTCTCGCTTACATATGGACAGCGATAGGAATACCTGGAAACTCCTAGAAATAACTACATAATCATCTCCGACATTCGAAGATATGAAGGACCTGTGCAATGAATAGGAATAAATGTGCAAACCGGGAGTTCCTTAGTTTAGGTTGAAGGGGCTCAGACAGATGATAAATGTGCTTTGTTTCCACTGCAGTACATTTTTGCTGCCTTCATTCGTGCTCTTCTAAGCTTCCAGGCAACGCGCTTGCTACGCGATGTCGACAAGCTCGTGGTTTATGTATTACCTATGCGATCGTTGTACTTAGTATCGCAGAGAGGATGAAGCATGATTTAGGTCGCCCTCTTTATCGAAAAAATATCGGATTTTTGTATCACTTCATATTCCACCGTCATTCTCTACAATTGCTGATTCAAAATTCATCTCCATCCCTTTTCATTGAATTTACAGTGAATTTGCTGTAAAAACGACGGATTGCAAGTTTGTCATGGATTGCTTTCAGTGAAAGGAACTTAACAGAGATTGGTCCTATCTTCGAATTCCACCAAAAAGTACAACGATTTCAACCGCAATACATAAATCACGGAATGTTCGACACTGAGTAGCACGCTCCGTTTGGCTGTAACGATACGCAAGCACGACTTAAAGGCAGCCAGGAAGATTTGGACCTATGGGGATTTTACGTGGAAAGTACTTTTGAGGCCCTAACTAAGGAACTGCTCAAGCGGCAGCGCAGGTAGTGCTCTAAGGGCTGAGATATTCCCCAAACTGGACCCCTCGATCGTATTCGTATGGATTCATGGCAGTTTCGCGCCAGGACATGCGCTTTGCGCCATGAATCCATGCGAAATACGATCGCGGGGTCTAGTTTCGAGGGGAATATCTCAGCGTTAGAGCACTACCTGAGCTGCCGGTTGGGCAGTGGCTTAGTTAGAGCCCCATACTATCCACGTGAGATCCACATGTGTCCAGACTTGCCTGGACGCTGCCTTCAAACAACGACAGCTTGTAATCTTTTACAGTAAACAGTTTTCATTGTTAGGAAAGTAATATCATTTTCGCACCACCCGCATAAATGCAGAATAAACACCAATATTTGGATAATAACAAGAATCGGATCCCTTCTCAAAAAACAAGTTGTATTTACCTTTAATGCATATATGATTCGTCCCAGGGCCACCTTCAAAGTCGTCGTATTGGGGTGAACTGATAAGCAGCGTCAACAACACTGGGTTTATCTGGGTGTGGAGTTGAAACCTAAAATCAGCAAAACTATCTGTTCAGCATCGAAGTAAAAAAAACCGGCAAGCTTGACTTATAGAGCTCTGCGTAATCGCGGGAGTCGGTGATTTTGCGGCCATTGCGCATGCAGCATGCTACAAGGCTTCAAACTAGTTGAACAACTCTGTACTTTTCAGAATCGCTTCAGTTACACCAAAGCTAACATTTGATAGCAGAAAAGCCTTTAAAAATCAATACTGAGAAAGCCCAATGTGCGAGCAACGGCCACAACCTCAACGACTCTCGCGATCACGCAGAGCCTTATACCAAACTCGTTCTTGATGGTTTTAGTAAGAAAAAACTGACTCTTTGTGCAGCTTTTCTTTCTTTGAGTCAAGACCGAATAAAGTTTTTGCTGAAGTTAACAAAAGAATTTGACAGATTTCAAGAGAATTGTCTTTGTCACAGACTCAAGAATATAGAATTCACAAAATGGCTTGAGCTAAAGCTAGCAATGCAGTCGAGAAATCAGAATCAACCTAGAATTCTTGATTTTACCCATTAATATACACCCAGTTCCTAGGGAAAGCACACCGCTCAAAAATTGAAAGGTTGCGTCCGGTACTCCACAGCTACAAAAGGTTTCATGCATCACACTCTCTTTCAGCTGGACACTTCAAAGATGCAACAGCCAAACAAAAAACAGACTGTATACGAATGATGAGAAGAAATAAGGCGAAAAAAGTAGCGAACGTTGCTTACCTTTAGCCATTTTATTTGCAACTTCCTTTCAGCTAAACCTTGAACCAGCAGCCCGCACACGATCATCAGCCATATGCAGCTCCAAGGACATTGGGTCGCTCAATCTAGAATACAATTTTTTCACAAATTCATGACCAAAATTACTTCAAATGCATGCTCGCCGCTAACCGAGCAGATTGAAACCAGCAGGTGCACGTTTGAGTGCCGCAAAAGGCGAAAACAGCCAGAAAGAAACTGATGAATAGAAACTAGCCAGTTTTACAGCATATTTCTATGAACATACGAGTCAAGGGTTGTGGTGTAGTACTAGTTCGTTTTTCTATGTTTGATATATCCTATAGTTCACAAGTTTCTTTGTTTTGGCTGTTTATCGAATCGATAAGCAGCTAGCCTGGCTAAGGCATCCTAGCGTGCCCCTAGGATACACGCTGTGAGAGAGTAAGGATTAGGCAGTGAGAAGGGGGCGGGGTTGACCTCATACAGTGCGCTACGCTATGGCTGCCATGAGCTAAGTAGTGTGATATCCTGCATTGACCAAGAGTGGTCACTCGTCTTGTTTTCCTTTTATTATCTTGTCATCTCATAGTGCCTTAATTTCTTTCATTTGTGCCTTTGTGTTTCATCATTTTGAAAAGAAATCAGTTTGCAAGTAAATATTTTACTTTGCAACAGTGTTTGTTGTTCACATCTGTGTCGGATTCGACCGTGATATTTCGATATCGTGCTCATTTATTTGTTGAAGAAACCGACTTGGGGGCCGAGCCGGTGAACAACTCACACAACTGATTTTTTTTTGTTGCAGAATTCCGGAATGGATTCTTTGATGGAGCAATCGGCAAGCGGACACGCCACGCCACCACCACATACCCCCGCCAGCCAAGAGGCGCTGAGCAATTGGAATTCACTTGAAGTGAGTGATAGTCAATTTGGTGATATTTTGACTTTTATGGGGGATGTGTTGGACAGCCAAATTAGGCACCTCTCGCGCGTAAAGCGAGATCAGATATTGATTTCGTTGCGCGAGAGGTTGCAAGTTAGCCTCGGAGGGGAACTTGACCATGCAGGTAGCTCGCACTCCGCTCTTTGTGATAAATTCCAAATGAGCGTCGAGGAATTGCTTGAGTATATACCCATGGCCAGTTCCCACAGCCAAATGGTAGTGAGGTTAGGGGCTAGGTTGGGGTGTGAGATAGATGAGGTAGAGGCCGTAGTTGAGGATAAGGCCGCAACTATAGCCGATCTGGAAAACAGATTGGCAGCCTCACAATCTAAGCTTAGGCTAGAGGCCTTGAACAGTGTAAGGAGAGAGGAAGATTTGCAAGCGCAAATATTAGTATTACAGGAACGTGTAAAAGAACTCTCCGGCCCCTCTCAGGATTCACAAGCCACAGCTTCGGCAAGCCTAGTCGAGGGTGAGTGTGAACTTTCACATTCTGTTCGGGAAAATTACCGAACATTACAAAGTGTCAACAATCGTGTTCAGGGATCCCGCGTACGTCGAGAAGCGACCGCTGGGCCACACTGCGACCCACCCCGAGCCTCACCCAAGTCGTCGCGACCATCGTCGGCCATGTCCTCCCAAGGATCAACGATCAGTGAGTCCCTATCGATTATTGATATGGGATCTAGGGAGGGGGTAGGTGCTGGGAACCCGGTAACGGACATGTTTACGATGTTTAAAGAAGTATTTAAAGCACAAAGCGTGGCCAGCGTGCCACGATACACGGGCAAAAATTCCCTAAGTGATTTCCTCCGGGCGCTGGAAGTGAAATTCCCCGAAAGCGTATGGCAGGATCGGGATAGGAGGGATATCCTGGTCAACCACCTGGAGGGCACGGCTAAGGCAGTGTTTAAAAGCCTGCCACAGAGCGTGCGGGAAGGGAGCTTCAAGGGTGTAGTAGAAGCCCTTAAGCAAGCGCGAAGAAACCCCTGCGACCGCTTAAAGAATATAAGAGAGTGGGAACAACTCTCAAAGCGGAGTGGGGAAACCGTGGTGGATTTCTGCTGCAGGATGGAGGATCTCTCTAGGAGAATCCATCCTAGTTGCGAATGGGATTTCATTCGCGGCTCCAAGCTGTACTCATGCTTGGAGAATTGGCAGGATTCCTACCACATGCTTGCTGCTTTAGACTCGCCTGAAGGGCAAGTCTACGAAGCAGTCAAGAAGGTAGCAAGGAGGCTGGAGAAGCTTCAAGATGGAGCGGTGAGGTACCCTAGTGACTCGAATGTTCGGGCAAAGAGGGTAAATGCCTATGTGAAGCCGCAAGTTGAAGCCAGGTACCCAGCGGGTCCTAGTAAACCCCTTGTTAGTGGTGCAACTAATAAGGCCCCTGTAAAATGTTTTACTTGTGGCGAAGTTGGCCACATCTCTTCAAGATGTGATAAGAGGAATCAAAGCACAGCTAATCGATTTCCACAGGGAAGGGGTATGAGGTGCATTCAACCTCATAGCAGTGCTGTAGGGGGGATCACCCTGGCCGACGATGTTGAGGGATGGTGCAAGACCGTCCAAGCCAATCATGCCAAGGTAGATGCGAGCCCCAAGGCTATAGGAGAACCATGTCTCTGCGAGGTAGAAGTGTTTGGCATAAACACAAAGGCTTTGATAGATACCGGTTCGGTAGTTTCGATAGTTCCTGTGGGATTTTTGAAACTGGCCCGTCAGCAAGGGGTGGATTTCAACACACAGGCTAGGAGGGTCGTTGATTCTAAACAGCGCAAACTTGTTGATGCTTCAGGAAACCTCATGAGCTTTCTCGGGGAGCTAGTAGCTAAGGTTAGTATACACGGGAATGGAAGCATTCCTGTACACTTACATGTCCAGAAAACCGAAGATACAACGCTACTTTTGGGGACTAATGCCTTATCGGAGCTTGGTATTGCGCTAACTTTTCCAACATTACCGAATAAAGGAAGCACCGATTGTCAACAGGTTCATGCTGTAGCAAGAGTAGTTATACCTCCGGGATGCGTGGCCACGGTACAGATCGAGGGATCATCTCAATCAGGTCCCTGCCTGTTCTGGTCACGTCATGACCGCATAGAATCGGGTGTGTGCGCAGTCGAGCAGAGCAAATCCGAAATATCAGTGTTGAATAGAGAAAGTGAACCTTGGGTTATCCAAAAAGGGGAACAGTTAGGTACATGGTCCCATGATTCATGGATAGATCCTAGGATAAGTGAATTACCTGGCGATATGCTAGTATTGAAGCAGCCTACATTGGTAGAAGATGCGGAAAGGATAGGTAACCTGGTTGGTTTACTTGACGCCAATAGAAGAGCAGGTCCTATGCCTATAGAGATTAGGAAGGTAGTGGAAGACTATCATGACGTTTTTGCTATTTCTGATTTGGAGCTCACTCAAACCCATCTGGTTGAACATGACATTGAAGTGGGAGACCATCCGCCCATCAGGCAGAAGACTCGACCGGTACCGTATGGACTTCGTGCGGAGGTTGAGACAATGCTTGATGAGCTTAAGGAAAGGGGAGTGATAGAGAATAGTGAGTCACCATGGGCATCGCCAATAGTCTTAGTGGCAAAGAAGGATGGAACTATCCGTCTTTGCGTGGACTATAGGGAAGTGAACAAAGTAACGAAAAAGGATAGTTACCCACTCCCACCTATAGATGTTACCTTGCAAAATCTGCAGGGGATGTGCTGGTTCACATCATTGGATCTAGCGAGTGGGTATTGGCAAGTACCGCTGACAGAGCGCGCCAAAGAGATTAGTGCTATTACCACTACCGCGGGCCAATTCCAGTTTAGGGTGCTACCCTTTGGACTCACAACCGCCCCTGCGAAATTCCAGCGCTTAATGGATCAAGTATTGGGCGATGTTAAAGGGCGCGAGGTCTCGGTGTATATCGATGATATTCTAATCGCCACCGAAAGCGTAGAGCGCCACGCCGAAGTGCTGAGGAAAGTGTGCCAAGCTTTGAGACAAGCTCAGCTTAAGATGAAGCCACAAAAATGCCGGATTATGGAACCTAGCATCGAATTTTTGGGGCATGTAGTGGATAAGGATGGTGTCAAAACCGACCCGGATAAAGTGGTGCGAATTCAAAATTTTGAGCGCCCAACCAACATAGCGCAACTACGGACATTCCTGGGTATGGCAGGATACTATCGCAAATTTGTGTTACATTTTGCGCAGATCTCGAAGCCTCTCTATGAGCTTACCAGTCCTAAGAATGCTTTCTTTTGGACGGCAGCGCATGAGAGAGCTTTTAGCAAACTGAAGGAGGTTTTAACAGAAGCCCCGGTTTTGGCGCAGCCAAATATCGAAAGAGCAAGAGACGGAAGCCGTCCTTTCATAATCTATACCGACGCAAGTCGTATAGGTTTGGGCGCCGTTTTGACACAAGAAGGCGAAGATGGATTGCTCCATCCCGTATTTTTTGCTTCTAAGCCGTTAACGCAAGCGGAGAGGAATTATCACGTCACTGATCAAGAAGCGCTGGCAGTAGTTTATGCGTTAAAGAAGTTCCATTATTTTATCTATGGGGTCAAAACCATAATAAAAACGGACCATGCAGCGCTTGTATCGCTCTTTAAACGTACCAATGTGTCTCCCAGGGTGCTGAGATGGGCGCTGGAAGTTCAGCGCTATGATCTGACCATCGAACACCTGAAGGGAGCAGCTAACTGCGTTGCTGACGCATTATCTAGGGGACTCCCTGAACACGTATTTGCTAAATACGGGTACGCCGAAGGTGAAAAAGTAGTTTGTGCAGTTCAGGAGCACGAATGGTTGTCGGAATTGCGCCAAGATTCCGATTTTGCAGCCTTGATTTCTGCAGTAGAGAGCGAGCGCGAAGAGGAGGTGAAACTCCCAAGACACGAGAAAACCCTTAGTTCTGTGGATTTTACCATTGAGAACGGAAAATTACACCTGATAAAGGAAGATGGGTCTTTGGTCCCAGTAGTGCCGCGATCACGCCGCCAAAGCGTGTTTGACGAAGCTCATGCAGGAGCCCTTGGAGGACATTTTCACCCGCGAAAATTATTCCTTCAGCTCAAGAAAATGGTATTTTGGCCTGGAATGCGAGCAGACCTGTTTCGGTGGTACCGATCTTGCCAGAAATGCTTTCTGACCAACTGGAAAAAGGACAATGTCCCACCGTTGCGACCCTTTGAAGTATCTAGACCTTTTCAAATAGTGGGAATCGACATTTTAGAGATGGGTTTGACTAGCCGCGGAAATCGGTATATAGTCACTATCATCGACCATTTCACCAAGTATCTTGGAGCGTATCCAGTACCCGACAAAAAGGCGGAAACTGTTGCTGAAGCCCTATTCAGCAACTGGATTTGTGCGACAGGACGCTGGCCGGAAACAGTGTTTTCTGACCGTGGCGGCGAATTTGAGAACGGTATAATGACGGTTTTCTGCGATTATATGGGGATTTCCCAAAGTTTTACCAAAGGATATTGCCCGAGAGAAAATGGAGTGACGGAGAGGGTAAACGGGACTATCGTTAGAATGCTCAAGAAGAAGACGGTAACACCAAGTGAATGGGATAAAGTGCTCCCCACGGTAGTGTACGCATACAACGCGTCACCTCACAGAGCAACGGGGGAAAGCCCGCATTTTCTGCTATATGGAAGTGACCCTAAGTATCCTTCTGCAGTAATTCCGTCAGAACATCTATCGCCGTACATTGTAGACTACGATAATTACAAAACGGAGCTCTTGTCGGGGTTAAAACTTGCTCGCGAATGCATTGTAGAAAATGCACGGGAATACCGCGAAAATATGAAAAAATATTACGATCGGAAGCTGGAGACGGCAAAATCCGTGAAATTTGCAGCGGGAGATCGCGTGTATATGAAACTGCCGGCTGAAAAAGGGCAGTCTGAACACCCCAAATTAGTTATGGACTGGGCAGGGCCGTTTCGAGTGATCGAAGCCAGCGACAATTCGGCGTTAATCACTCAGATTGGCGAAAACGAGGAGCCCCGGCGAGTGCAATTTGACCATTTGGTCAAAGTACCGGCGGAAATCGACGATACGCCTGTGGTAGGAATAACCGGGCGCAGAAAACGGGGAAGACCCAAGAAAACTGTGAAAATGCCCGATTTATCCACGACGAAAACTAGTAGAAAACGGGGACGACCCAAGAAAGCTAGTCAGGAGAAGATTGATGGGGTTGTGAGTAGCATTAGACTAATAAATTTTCTTTTCAGGAAACCCTTATCATCTGCAACCAATGCCAGACACGTCAGTTGGAAATGTCCCGGAAAACTCGCCCATGGAAACACCGTTTTGGAATGCTCGATCGAGGAAAGAGTGCCGGACGTCATCCCGAATTCGCCTCTCAGCTGCATCAGCATAGGAACGCCGTACGATCTCGCCCGGAACATTTCTGTGATAACCCAGTCCCATGTCCCTGATAATTGGCGTGTTGCTCGTTTATTGGATGTCTCATACGATATTCTGACCCCCCATTCTCTAGGAATTTCATTGTCATATTTTCGTAGTCATTGCCTTCATGCGACCCTAGCCTCAGTAGTCGACGCCAAGGAGCCCTTTAGAAATTCTTGCAGAGGACGGCTAAACTAGTCGCGCAGTGGAAGCGCTCTTTGCAGGGGACCCCCTTGTGGTGTAGTACTAGTTCGTTTTTCTATGTTTGATATATCCTATAGTTCACAAGTTTCTTTGTTTTGGCTGTTTATCGAATCGATAAGCAGCTAGCCTGGCTAAGGCATCCTAGCGTGCCCCTAGGATACACGCTGTGAGAGAGTAAGGATTAGGCAGTGAGAAGGGGGCGGGGTTGACCTCATACAGTGCGCTACGCTATGGCTGCCATGAGCTAAGTAGTGTGATATCCTGCATTGACCAAGAGTGGTCACTCGTCTTGTTTTCCTTTTATTATCTTGTCATCTCATAGTGCCTTAATTTCTTTCATTTGTGCCTTTGTGTTTCATCATTTTGAAAAGAAATCAGTTTGCAAGTAAATATTTTACTTTGCAACAGTGTTTGTTGTTCACATCTGTGTCGGATTCGACCGTGATATTTCGATATCGTGCTCATTTATTTGTTGAAGAAACCGACTGGGTGGCTTAATTGACGAACTGCTCATGGAATGGGCTAGCTATTATGCTTATCGAGGATTTTCACTTGAGCACAAGCTTTCTTTTGTCACAAACTTCATACTAGTTGATGACGCTTAGATTTTTCCAAACCAAATGTGGATCTCTGCTAAGGGGTAAATTTCGGGTTATTTGTTAGATGAGAGCTCAGTAGAATTATGATTTTAGACTTTGCTGTATTAATAACTGAACTCATCCGTATGCTTAGTGTTTTCACAAATTGATTGAGCTTTGAATAAAATATCCCTAGGTAATTTATGATTAGTTATCGATTTGTGCTTCGTAACATGAAAACAGCAACATTACTACGAAGATTATATCTATTTTTAGGCGTTGGACTGTGCACGTTTCATACATGACCTTATGAACGAAAAAAATCGCTGAAATGAGCGCTTCTAATCTTACAAGTCACACATCGTGTGCAAGCATATTAAATTACAAATGACTCAAGGATATCTATAGACGACAAATTCTACAGCATAAGAAAACTCGTCCAAATCGAGCATTTAGAAATTTGGAATGATACTTGGCTTTAGCGATGAAAGCAAAAAAGGAAGGCCAAATTTGAAGTGAAGATACCCACTTGCAGTTGCGGCTTCGCCATTCTTAATAGCTGTCCATAGATCGGCACCATTTTGTCCCTGGAGTCGACCTCCACAATCACCGGAGATGTATTTGACGTACTTTTGGTAATTCGTACCGAACTAATCTAGTATAAGCCTTAATAAAAGAAGATAACATCGGGCAATGCTGCAAATATGAGATTGCGAGGCACAATACAAAAAGATGAATCTAACTCTAGTGTTTGGGATCAGCCGTACTACTGCAAGGATTGCTGCGACTCCCGTAATTCCCATAGTTCTTGTGATTCCTCGATTTCCGATGTGCCGCACTACGGAGCGCTTTGCAAATTTCAGTATACATTGCCTTTTCAGGATTTCCATTGTTACGGAACACGTTGGAATTATGGAAATTGCAAGAATCCCAGGAATAGTATGACAAGAGAAGTAAAGACTAATGCCCCACAAAATGCTTTTTCCCGAAAAAAACTAATCCCAAAAATAGTCGCTGTCTTGGCCACTGTTCCTACGAAATTCACAACACAGCATAATCAAGAACAGAACAGAGTAAAAAGTAAAATGCAAGCTAGTAGATAAGTGACGACATATCGCAACGCCGATCAAAGGACTCAGCGATACGTCGTTCGATTGGAGCGCGCTTTTTTCCTTAGGAAACGGGGCTGCTGAGGCTATTTTTGCCTCTAGCAATGGGGAGAGGAGGAGGTTTGCAACCAAAATTTCAATATATACTAATGTTTAGGTGTAGAGTAGATTTATGTAAAAATTTTGAAAAAATTATGTGAATTGAGAGTTTTGACAAGCTCAGCTTGTCATTAGCTTGTCAAATGACAAGCTAATTTGGAAATAAGTTGGGGAAACTCTTCATTCACATAAGTTTTTCATAATTTTTCATACTTTGTTACTTAGTCCTACTGCGCATATACACACCGAATCCCGCGCGATTTCGTCGCCTCTGCGTTGCAAACGAGCCATTTTTCCATTTCTTTGGTAGCGGGAAATTTTCGGAAAAAACTTTGCCACAACCTTCAGTCACATAATTTTTTAATGAAACTCCTAAGTTAGCTCCTACAGGCACGTGTCCACGTGCGTACCAAGTTTCATACCATATCGTCATCTGCGCGTTGCAAACGAGCCATTTGAATTTACAACTTCATTTACCAATTTTGCAAAATCTTTGGAAAAAATGCTTATTACTCGTCCCTTTCACATAAGTTTTTCATAATTTTTCATACTTTGTTTCCACTAGCCTCTCTCCGTTCGCCTACAAAATCTGGTGTCATACCGTGACGCGTACACTGAGAACTAGTCATGTATGCCGTTACAAATAGCTCGTTTGAGCGACGTCGCGCGTGCGGCAATTAGCGACGGCGCGGTTTGACGCGCGCGAACTCCAGTCTTCGCATGTTGAGGCATATAACATGTTAAAATAAGCAGATAACGTGCACTACCAATTTTTTTTCCGGGGCTCCGCCCCGGACCCCGCAAAAACGATTTCCCCTTTGCTTTTTTTGCCGAAAACGATTTCCAGCTTGTCATTTGACAAGCTCGTGCCGGGCCCTGGTACGTTATATTCTATTGTTCGTTTCCACACTTATCATGATCAAGCTGACATTGGATATGTCCTACACTTATTTGAAGAATTGCTTTCGTGGAATATATGTTCGTTCCCCAGCAGGATTCCCATAGTCTTTTGAATGTGTTAACCTCGGCCAGTTCCGTTGAAATCTCAGGAGAAAGGTGTCAGAAAGAGCGAAAGGCAGCGTCGCACCACGTACGCACGCTGGTTCATATGGGAACCTCTCTGGGGCGCAGACGGTATAGCTGCTTTGTTTGTGGAGCTATACTTGTCGAGCTGTTACAGCTAGGACCGTTCGCCAAAGTTGGCTCAGAGTTCACATATGACCTGAAGAAGGTCATTTGTCCAATCTTCAATTTGAAGCGGTAGCTGCACAATGATTCGACGCTTGAACAGGCGTTAGTCTTAATGCAATTTACAAAGAAGGGGTTACCTAGGATTCTCTTCAAAAATATGTCACTGTACTCAATTCTAGACTGGTGCGCGAGACGCATCCAGGGAAAATTGCTATGTAGTGCTTAGCACTTTATGAAAGCAACGTTATCAAAAAGGATCAGAATGATTTTGGGCTTCAAAAGTAGCCAAGAACTCGTTTATGTACACAATTTCTGCTCAGAGTGCAACCAGATTCAAGTAAATTTCTTCTATGTTGTGCGATTTCCTTCTTCCACAACTTATCAATCAACTTACTTTGTATCGTTTGCACAATACCTTTGATGTTCATCAGTAGAATTCGCTGATGGTGAACGAATCACCTAACTTCATCGAGAAAGGCAATCGAGAGAACAGCATGCGATCCCTATGCGATCCCTATTAGCAATTCATGTGATGACAGATTACATTGTTCGGCAACTTCCTCTCTATCACCGCGAAACAGCACTACCATCTCATTTTCAGTCAGTCTCCTGACTTTAGTGAGAGCTATGCATTGCAATAATACATCAACATCCTTTCATCACTGATGATATATAATGTATAATGTGGATATATTTGCCCCAAGCTTTGCTTCTCTGCTAGCGGGATGTTCCATAAAGCGAAAAGTCTCCTTTTCGGAAGAGCATCAACGAATCAGGAAAACCATTTAACAGCAACGAAATAGTTTTTGACTCTCTGACTAGCGTGTACGTACATGCCAAATTTTCTCGGATGCAAAAAAATACACGTACTCATCGCTATCTACGAACGGCGTCAAACGTGAAGTGTTTGAAGATAGTGCGCTCCAGTTGAAAAGAGGTGCTCTAATCAAAATGGCGATGGAGCGCACCTGCAACTCCTCCCAGTCCCGAGCCCTTTTGCGGGCGTTCTACGATGACAGCCTGTCTGGACCACTTATAGCAATCCTTTAAATGAAGTTTTTAGATAACAATATGTTCAGTAGAAGGTTGACAAATCTTAAGTAATTGCTTAGATGCTCCACCGTTGCACGAGTTCTGCGTTGCGTTCTGATAACAGAGTAAATAGAAAATCGCCTCTCTACCTCTGCCGTGCTAGTCGGTATGGGAACTAGCTTTGTTAGTAAGCCCATCAGATTTTTGCGGTAAGTAATGGGGAAAGAGCCAGATCGCATATGCTTTCGCAACACGGGAAGTAATATTGCATACTTTTTTGGGCCTTGTCGAACTCTGGCTTCACCTCCTCTGGCTCACGTCTTGTTAGCTGACGAGAAAGCCGCTCAACTTCTTCTTCAACAGCATCTGCGGAATAGCCGAAAAAAGTAGATACTATGCTGCGCGTTGGTTTTTTTCAATATCATAGGTCACATTGTCACAAGGCGAGATACTTCCAGCAGCATAAAGCACAGAGTTAAGTTCGTACTCCAGTCGGGATCTAAGAGCAGTAGCTATGCTTTGTACTAACACCTTCCTTTTGTTCATATCCATATTTGTAAATTTAGCAGCTTCGAAATCTTCAGCAACCTGAAGATCAGCAATGGATTTCTTGGACATTTACTCATTGAGACTAGGCAATCTGCTTGGATTTCTGATGTACGAAATAGAGAGTTTCGCTCAATTGTCAACTCTGTATCAATGTCGACAACATTTTGGTCGGCGTAAGATTCTCCTTCTGCCTCGCTTTTAAACTGGAACACATCCGAGTCATCTGCAATTTTGTAAAGTATTCTGCCTGCCGCTTCTTCTTCAAACTGTCAACCTTTCGAAAACATTGAAGGATATTTTATTAACATGTTCTTCTGAATGCCTCGAAATTTTTGATTTATTGAAACCAACCATTCTCTACAATTAGGTGAATCTAGAGCATATTCTTCAGCACTAGTTTTACAGAGTATAGATTCCAGAAATGGGCGGGTTTTTGTGTGAAGGTGTGGAAATTCACCAACTCCCATGGTTTTTTTGAGTATGTGTTGATGATGATGGCACAACTGTCAATCAAAAGCGCATTTTTTTACTAAAAAAACATAAGCATATAACAACGATAAGCACGCTTAAATAGACGCGTTCGCTCGCGTTCCCGTTAGTGCTGATAGTGATGTCAATCCACAGCACATTTTTTACTATTAGCTTGCTCCACCTCGCTCTTACAATGTATTGGCTTTTATCGGTTACCGGAGCAAATGATTTTTAGAGCCGGGAAGCAAAGAAGCCCTAACAAGCTGTATACCATTCGAAAGCTGAGATCATGGAGAATCGACGTAGACCGTCGACTTTTTTCTAGGTCTTCTGTGCCGCGGAATATGAGGGATTTTATGTGCTTCAAAAATTAACTGATTTTGTGTCCTCACTTTCTGCTCTCCAAATGAATTCTACGAGAAAGTCGACGGTCTACATTTGTTAATGAAGACTTGCTCTTTAACATAGATAGATAATCAGCAGTGATTAGGTCTTCATTTGGCAGAAATCTGCTGTTGAGAATGACCATATTTTCAGATAAAATGCGGTGTATCTCTCGGTAGAGGGGGGCTAGAAAGAAGTCGATGGTCTAGGTCGAATCCCCTTTTTCTGAGCTTTCGAAGTATATAGGTTGCTGGGCGAAAAAACTAACCAGTTTTCAAGAATGGGGTGGAGATGTTTACTATTAGCTTGCTCCACCCAGCTCCACCAATGTATTGGCTTTTATCGGTTACCGGAGCAAATGATTTTTAGAGCCGGGAAGCAAAGAAGCCCTAACATGCTGAATACCATTCGAAAGCTGAGATCATGGAGAATCGACGTAGACCGTCGACTTTTTTCTAGGTCTTCTGTATCGCGAGATATGAGGGATTTTATGTACTCTGAAAACCAATTGCTTTTTTGTCCTCACTTTCTGCTCTCCAAATGAATTCTACGAGAAAGTCGACGGTCTACATTTGTTAATGAAGACTTGCTCTTTAACACAGATAGATAATCAGCAGTGATTAGGTCTTCATTTGGCAGAAATCTGCTGTTGAGAATGACCATATTTTCAGATAAAATGCGGTGTATCTCTCGGTAGAGGGGCTAGAAAGAAGTCGATGGTCTAGGTCGAATCCCCTTTTTCTGAGCTTTCGAAGTATATAGGTTGCTGGGCGAAAAAACTAACCAGTTTTCAAAAATGGGGTGGAGATATTTACTATTAGCTTGCTCCACC